CCTGACTGTATTTGTAGGCTGAGTTTATCCTGTTCCCTGCTGCTCCATGATCTGCCCCTAGGTTACTAACAACCCCAACAGACAGCCTGGCTCATGCGACCTGCTGCTTAGGCACAGATTAACTCCCCACCAGCCATATGGGCTACCAACTTCACAAATTCCTCTCCTTTTGCTTTCTGCTCTCAGTAAAGTTAATGGACAGTTTGCTGGTAAAGAAAACACAAAACAAAACTGCAAACCTGTGACCTAATCACCTGGGTTTAACACAACTGGCCCCTCCATCTGCCTTTGCACTGGGATCTGTGCATATAAAGCAGGATCTAGTGCTGTGCACGATGCAGGTTCATCCTGGTGACTTTCTCTTATGGCACAGGTACTTGCTTACAATACAATGGAATTGGACATAGGCACTATGCATATATTGCACACACTTAACCATATATAATTTGTATGTTCTTAAAAAGATCCCGTTGTTTTGGTGGGCTTTAGTTAGTAGTGGCTCTTGTGGTCGTTTCTTAAATGTTTTTAGACTGGCAGACCACATTTCAAGGTGATTTCTCCACTGACTTTGCAAGATACATACTTGGAGAGGAATGCATGAAGGGCCAGAAACAGAGTTTTTATCAGAAAGCTGAACCCTTCAATGCCCCATGCTGACTTGAGGATGGCCTTTCTAAGCATTATTTCCTGCCTGGGCCTTAGATGTAGGGTGCAGGATGCTCAGGGCTGAGTCTCAGAAGTGCTCAAAGCCAGCATTAGTGATTGTCACTGGTGTGCTCTGCCCCAGTGCCTGGGCCTGTTGTGCCTATGGCTCTTGTCCAGGCTGTCCTGACTGGCTCTGCTTGGGCTTCTCGCCACCTGGGACAGACAAGGACATCCCAAAGAGATGGCAGCATTAGTCTGTGCTCTGGAAAACATGCTGCCCATCTGAGATGCAAGTGGAACTGCCTTAAGCCACCTCAGGCAATCACTAATCACTTCTGTCACTGAGGCTCTCTTAAATATAAAGACTTGGGTTACAGGCATGCTGCAGCCAGTCACTTGGGAATTACATTTTATATCAGTAGTTTGTACCATACCTTTATCTGCAGTGTGTATGTTCATGTATAGGTAACCTGATACCTAAAAATATGTCAGATTATCATCCTTATAGCTGTTGCTTGGATATTTGGTTTTTTGCTAAAAGTTGGATCCTTAATTTAAACCTGGAGTTAAGACTTGCTTTGCAGCTTAGATTGCAGGCATTAGCTTATACAGCCTTTATATTTCTTTGCTAAAGGACTAAATGGTTATGAAAAGAGGAGGACTTCAGGCAGCCCAATGAATTATATGATTGGTGAAGCTGCTGTCACAGTTCCAGCAGTGGTGGGTTTACAAATATGTGGTTTCCTAAATGCTTCTGGAGGGGCTCATTCTTTGAATATTTTGGCAAAAAAGAAATTTAAAGCTTTAAGAAGAATCAAACGAAAAATACAATAAAATATAAGCTTTAAAATGGAAATGGATTTTCTTCAATATTCTGTGACTTAAATACGAAACACGAATATTTTTAGTCTCTGACTTTTCCGTGTGTATTGCTATAGAAATGCAAAGATAACTTATTGGACCTGATCCAACACTTTACAGGCTCATCCCTCCTCAAAAACAAAAGGGTTTTGGTTTCTCCAAATTCTTCCGTCTTTGGAAAGAAGGCAAAAACAAGCCTTCTCAAATTAAAAAGGAACTAAGTATGACCTCTCCAGTGACAGAATGCAAATTGGGATAGATTGAAAGAAAAGAAAGACACTCAAGTAAAGGTAGTTCTTATTTTCCAGGTGATTGAGAGTGGTTAATAAAAAAGACTTCCATTATTTGTTTTTTAGAAAATTTTTTTCTTTCCAAATAGCCCAGCTTATGATCACCTTATTTCTTTCATACTGAACATCTGTAGAGACAGGTATCATGTGTGAGAAACACTGGAAAAAACTTGTTAGTTCCACATTAGATGGTACATTTGACTTGTCTGATGCTTTGGTTCCTGCCTTGACCCATAGGTGCTACTTCAGAAACAAGTAACATAAAATTGAAGCCAGAATCCATGCTCTCAAACAAATGGGATTTATAAATGATTTTGACATGTGCTGATAATTCTGAAAGAATATATGCGTTTTATATTCTGTGTTTTGTAAATGGAATTGCTTTTAAATTTTCTGTACAATCAGAGGCAACTCTTTATTTTGGTTTTGTTCAAGTTGGTAACAGAGAAATGAGATGAAAGGGATGAGCTGGTTTCCATGTAGATTCCTAGACTGATTCTGCTGGAAGTGTTACCTGGAGACAGGTAGAGCTATCCCTTGTTGCTGGGATGCTGGGGAGTTAAATATATGGGAAAACCCATCCTCACTTGCAGGTTCTCTAACCACACTATGTCATTCTTTGCAGCTGGGTGTATTTAACTGTGTGACTGACCACAAGGATCCTGGCTTTTCCCCCCTGAGCTTAATGGTGAAAATCCCTCACTTCCATCTCAAAACTAGATTGAAGATTTGTGGTGTTATTTGAAATGGCTGGGACTGTCCTTTGACCTGCCTATGTTGAGCCAAATGGATCTCACCCCCCTGGATCTGTTCTGGCTGTCTCAGGATGCAGGGCAGAGACAGGCCTGAGGGCAAGGCAGGTTGCAAAAGAGAAGTTACAAGGGTCTGTCTTTGGGATTTCAGGACTTTTATTTAATTCTAAGGTTTGAAATACCCCTTTAGCAATGAGAGAAGTCCAAGATGCCAACCCGTGGTGTGGCTCTGCAGCCAGAGCAGAGCACCCAGAGCTGGTCAGGAGCAGGAACTCCTTTGGTTATTCCCAGCAGGGGCAGTGAATGAGCAGAAGGGGTTGTTTGCTGGGCTCTGCAGGGTTTATTGCACCCTCAGCTGACTGATGTCAGGCTCAGAGGAGCAGACACCATGTACAGTTATAAGGTCCTTGCCTCTCTGGTAATACCCATTCAGCTCGAGTCCTCTGTCCCATCCTTGTGTAATGAAAATTTCTCAGCAGGATGGTGATTTGTGCCGTGGCCCCAGGCCCTTGGGAGGAGGGGCAAAGGGGGAGGAAGAGATTTCTATATCAGCAAATACTTTGGAGGTGGATGCAGGATATTTAGGGAGCACGTGCAAGCCGCCATGTGAGCAACAGGGAACCAAAGTCTTAATGAAAGCCTTGGGCAGGAGGGTAGGGCTGGCTGCCCTGGTCGCTGGCGCTGAGCTCTGCTGCAGACGCCAGGCAGGCCCTGCTGACATAATCCTCTTAGGGAAAGAAAGAGTGGAAACCGTTTCCATTTGCTCCATGTTCTGTTGGGACACGGGGTTTGCTGTGTCCAAGTCTTCTACATTTCTCCCTGTCCTCTGTCTCTGAGGCACAGCAGGATATCTTAGGAAGGGAAAAGCACTACAAGTCATACCCCTCCTCAAATGGACCTGGATGGATTTGGGATGGAGAGCTAAGATTAGGTCTGCCTCCCATAAATCACTTTGGGCATGGACTGGCTTTCCTTACAGCCTGCATTGATTCCTCTTCTTTACATCTCTGTACATTTCTGCTTTATTCTTGCTGTCTGTTCTTCTCTGATGCTAAACCACATTCTTTTTCTCTTGATGTGGTTGCCTCCTTAAAGGTCTCATGTAGAGTCACTCTGCTTTCCACAAGCTGTCTTCTAAAATGTTGATTATGGTTTTCTACCTCTTGAGACTAAACAGATGCTGAGATCACTATTCCAGGACACTTCATTTCTGGTACCAAAATTCCAAATCCAAGCACCTGTATTTTATTGTAGGGAAGAAAGCTCTGATTTAGGTTTGAATTTTGCTAATCGCAATCTGAAAATAATCTTCACTTTTTTTTAAGAAGGAATTACAAAACCAGATTTGCCACCACATCTGGAGAGCCTGAGCAGAGCTTCTCTCTAACCACTATGAAACAGACCTGGAGTGATGTTTGGTGCCTCAACACTCTCTCAAAGGAAAGTGTATTATCCCAAACCCATGGGTAAGGGTTTGCTATCCTCAGTCTAAAAGGATGGGTCTTGGCATGTTCAGAGAAAGAATCAAACCTTTACACCCTGTTCTTGCTTCCATTCATGATTTTTATTTTGCTCTTTTAAATGTTTTTCCCTGTCTTTGACGTTTTGTAGCACTAAATTAAGAGGTTTTTACACACCTAACATCTGTGGTGCACTGTCCTCTTGCCATTCTGGGAGAAGCTGGCCTTAGTCATGTGGGTTTTGGTCTTTGCACTGGTCAGGTACAGGAGCAGCATGTTTATTTCAATATTAAGCTGTCAGCAGTTTATACCAATATATTGTAAGGAAAAAGAGGTTCCTGAACATTATTAAGTCTTTAGTTTGGGATTAGGAGGTTTTAAGACAGATTTAATTAAACAGAGCAGGGACACCTTTATGAACCTGAAGTTGGGGTTAATTCGCTCCCCCAGTGCTCTATTTCTTGATTACACAAAGATGAAACAAATTCCATGTCCTACCTGGGGAGCCCTGGAGGGGAATATGAAGTTTCATCTCCAGACAGTTCAGTGCCCTGTCAGGGAGGCCATGATTAATAACCATGGCAGGGGACTCTTAGTGCTGGAAAGAAATGAAGTGGAGCCACGTCTGACAGCGAGCCAGTGCCACACTGGGAGCTTTCATGGAGATTGTGCTGCTGGCTCAATGGACCTGATAAAAGAGGCCCTTCAGGGCTGCAGCAAGATGGGGGAAGAGGAAAGTGGGATCCAGAAGTTGTCAGGAGGTCATGATTAATGGAAGCAGAGACAGACAAATTTAAATAAGCACCTTTGTGCTTGGCATCTCTTGGACTGTGATGAGCTCCTTTTCAATGGGTCAGATGTAATTGGAGCTCACCCCAACTGCCACCACCACGGTAACCAAGCACAAACAAACCCTTCTCAAAGCTGTCTTGAGTTTCTGATGGTTTTTCACTGGATGCTTCCCACTTTTGCTTATTTCTGGCCCCCATGTCTCAGTGTTAAAGTGGCATGAGATTTGCAGAGGAGAACACTGTGACAGTCTGTGTTACACCTGCAGAGCTTTTCATCTTTAAACCTCTATTCATACAGACATGGACCTGACATTGGTGAGTTTCATGCTAGATACAAAATAAAAAATTAGGCATGAATGTATTTTGTTAGGAGAAATTAATGAATGAGATATATGGGGATATTGCAATGAGTTTTGTTCTGTAGAATCAAGTGTTTGCAGAGCTCGAAACCCAAAAGGGGCCACCTTGCCTCTGACATCATATAGCTCTGTCAGTTCTCTTAGTTCTCTCTACACTGGGGTTTTGAATGAGGTTAAAATATCCTTTTCCAAGAGGCACCTGCCCTGATTTTGAAGTACTGGAGGACAGTGTCACTGTGTGAGGGGACAGTGCCATTGTGTGGGAAATGGTTCCAGTGTTTAACTGCTGGTGTTATTTGAAGTCTTCCCCTTCTTTCTATTGTGAGTAGTGGCTTCCAACTATTGAATGAAAGATCCTGTGTGTACCTGGAACTGGAAACATGTTCAGATGTGGCTGTTGGTCTCATGCTACTCTTCTCTTTTGCTGGACTGAACAGACAAAAAAGATGTTTCTCAGTCCAAATACACCACAAGTGTTGGACAAGACCAGGGAAAAGCTGGTTCCCTGTTCTGTAGTTTCAGTCCTCTATCTGAAATGTACAGCTATCAGCTCTCTTTAATTAAAAAAATAGCTTCAAGTCCTTAAATTTTTTGTGTGAACTGAAAACAATCAAATGGTGAACCTGCAAACCATGTTCCTGTGTCCTTTGCAGTTACGTTCTCATTTCTTATTCCAAGCATCTGTATGAATTTGATGGGAGTTTCTGCTGTGGGCAATCACAGCTGAACACTGAGCCAAGGATACAAGTGAAGTCCAGACATTTAAAATGTTATTTCAGAAGTCCTGTATAGTTAATGCACTAAAAGCCTAACAATCTTTTTATTTTTTTTTTTTTTTTCAGTCAGGCTACTTCATACACACAGTATTTGGAGAAAATTTAAAGCAGGAAACAGTCAGGATTTGGCCGTGTCTGGTATTCTGAATGCATCTTGGTACAGACTTGATTTTCTCACTGGGTCTTTTAAAGTTGTTTTGTACTGTTTCTGGAATGCCAAACAACGATGTTGTAGCACTGTGGACATGCAGATCTGGACTCGGGCCCTGCAGACAGTTAAGGAAGGGCAATAATGCCACCTTATGTCCTGATTTGTCACTGCCGAGCCAAGTACTTGGTTCAAGTCAAACACGTTCTGAGCAAGGAATGCTGTGTGCTGAGGCACCCCTGCTTTCTGGAGTTATTGCCACTGGGCCAGACAGAATCTGAAATGACTGCTGTTTTGGAAGAGAATTGGCTCCTATTTCACATGAGTTTGGGAGCATGAAAGTGTGGAGAAAATAAAGACAATTTAGCCCCAAAGTGCTAACATCAAAACCTCTGAACATAATGCTGCAAGGTTTCAAACCTATAAATATTTACATGAAATGCTTCCTGAGTTTTTAATTTACTAATAATTTAAAAGATTTTGATGATAAATGACACTAAAAGTGGAGCTGCATTGGAAATAGACATTTCCAGGCAGTAGGCTTCTATTTGCTTTTGACTGTTGCATGTTTTCTACAAAAATTTGAATTTTTTAGAAAATATAATTATCTGAAACTTAGCAGGACTGTATTATAAAAGTAGTTCCAGTAGTAGAAGCTAATTGAGCATCGATATGGCCAGATTCAAAATTAACATTTAATAAGGGTCTCTGATTATTTGTTTGTAGTCCCAGTCATTTGGAGATGGAAAAGTGTGGTTTGAAAATTAAAGAATACAGTGTTTTCACTGAGTTTCTAGTTGAGGATGATGTGGAGGGCAATCTGCTGGAAAACCATTACTATTTTCCTCACATGAAGGGAACATAGTTCTGCCAAGGGGGTGTTGCTGAAGTCATTGGCACTTACTGAAATAGGCAGAATTGAATATGATACTCTCAGAAAATAGGTGGGCAGATAAAGCTCCTTCAGGTATAAAGCAAGACTATTCTTCCCAATAAAGACTTTCTGCCCTTTGGTACAAATGTTTTCTCCATGTTATTAATTTTCTGTTGGGAAGTTGTTATGCTGCTCCAAACATGGGCCCAGTCAGGGAGTAAACAGGTTTAGAACATAATGCAATAAGCCAGTAGAAGTGCAAAGAGCCTAATGCTTAGGGGTGCCAGAAGGCCATAGGTACAATTTTGCATGCACGGGGCTTGCAGAAAGTCTGAATTTGATAAAATTCTGTAAAAGTGTTGAGAGCAGGCATGTGATCACACTGGGTCATGGCAGAGGAACTTCTGCAAGGGTTGGTGACCTTCAGAAAGGAAAGGTGTTTCCTGTAAGGCAACAAGTTCAGTCTCACACGGGAACAGGTGTGTGCTTGCTGCACATGTTGACACACCTTTAGGAATTTGCCACTGTAGATCTTATTAAAAATAACTTGGTGAACTCACAGCTTTAGTGATCAAGTGAATGCTGTTGCATGGGTCAGCTGAATGCCTCAAATGATTCTCTGGCATCAAGAATTTATACAGCACCCTTAATTCAGCAGAACTTCAGAGCAACCAGAGCTGTACTTCCAGTTACGGGTGCCTGCTCTTCTTTCTCTCTTCCTGTTTTCTGTGGCCAGCATGCACCATATCCCACAGCCCATATGGTCCTTTTCTGCAGAAATGGGCATGCAATGAGTATTTAATTTCTCTCAGCCAAAGGAAAAAACCCCAAAAAGCAGCCACAACCCAGGTTTTGATCTTCCTGTTACTACAGCATGGATTTGTTTTCCTTCATACACGGATCGCGTGGTGGGGGGTTGCCGTTGTCTAAGCAACTTCTTTGGGATGGAATCTTTCAGAAAGAAAGGAAAAGAATCCACTTACTCTCCTGCTTTTGTAATCTCATTCCAGGGTTTTGGCATCATCTCCCTGTGTATCTGTTGTGCAGATTAGAGAACATTTTACTCTGCCTTTGCTATCTTTATGCCCTTATGGGTTCCTTTGTAGGTAACACCTCCTCCTTGGATCAAGTTCATTTCATTTGCTTTCCTCCTGAACCCTTATCTCCTTGGTTAAATAGAGTGCTGAAATATTTGGCAGACTTTGAGCATCTTTAATTATCATTAGCAAATTGTTGAGAACACAGCAGACAATTGACAGTCTGGTCTTCAGAGTGCCATTAAAAGAGTTTAGAAAAGACTGTTTGTGTGCGTTGTACAAATTTGTTTGTTTTCCAGCCCTGAGAGTATAATGGAAATGTCCCAGCCAGACTTAGCTGTTGCTGTGGCACCAGTCAAAGCCTGGGACATAGGAGTGAGGCATCGTTGTTCTGGGTTACCCAGGACCTCTGGGTTACTGAGCAGAAGGCTTGCAGGGCAAAATGAAATTTCAGTGGAGACTGACTGCCCTGCCCATCCTCAGCTTGCTGGGCCATGTCTTCATACATGGCATTTGCAAGTGGATTATGATGCCACTTGTATATAATGACATCACTTAATTATATAAGTTATTACTGTAAAAGGTGAATATCTCAAGTAGATAAATGTATAGAAAATACCAGTAAAAATGCTTTAGTTAAGAATAAAACAGAAAACAGAAAAAAATTACAGTCTCTAACGTTGTCAAGTGAAGTTTGAGTTGGAGGTAACGAGTGCTCAGCCTGTTCTCTGATGTGCAGGAGGTTAGGACTGTTTAAGTGTTTATTTTGTCTAACATAAAAAAGAATTCTCATTTTACATATGCAAGAATTCCTCTAAACTTTTGTTGTCACTAATGCCTTATGCTTGAGGAGTTTCCCAGGATAAACCTCTCCAGCACCAGAGTGTAGAGAGAATCCTTCACCCTTGTGGTGAAACAAAGGTCAGAAGGATGAGGCCAGAGGTCTTCTGGCTCAGTTTAAATTACTGTAGAAAGCTTTCTTGGTTATGTGTGTCCAACAGGAGAGATGCTGGAAACAGCCTTCACACTTTGCAGAAATTCATCTGGCTTTTCCCTTTTTGTTACCAATGTGTTTCTCACAATGAATTTGTCACTTCATTTTTGCAGTCACACATGAGTTTGAAATATTGAAGTGGAGCTTAACAAAATGTCTTAGATTTCTCACTTTCATCAAAATTCTGAGTGGTTGTATTTCAAATCAGTGATACTTTCTCTCAGGTTTCCTTGGCAATATGCAGACCTCTAGGAAACACTTACAAATGTGCCAACTTCAAGCTTCTCAAGAAATCTGGTGGTTTGATATGATTTCTCACACTGTTTTGCTGACAGATTCACAGTTATCATGGTTGTGTGGGTATCACTGTCCAAGCTCTGCACAGGTGGATATTGTAGTGTAAGGTGGAATTAGGGGGTGTCTGGAGAGGGTTTCCAGCTGCTCTGGTGGAATATGCTCTAGGATCTCTGATGCTGAGTTTTGCTCAGCTGAGCTGCCCAGTACGTGTTGCCACAGCTCATCCTATGAGACAGCTTGGAAATGCAGGAGAGATGGTTCTGATTTCCCCACCTGTGGAGTGTTAAGCACTATTTTTAACAGAGAAGAGCTGAGAATTTTGCAGGCCCTGCAAACCACCAAGTGATCATGTCCATCACTGCCTGATTTTTCAAATAACTCCTGAAAGACATTCTGTGTTAGAGATTGGAGTCTCCTTGCCAAAAGATGTAGGGGCTAAAGTTGGACTTGTGTTCAAGGGAAGACTGGAAAAGTGCACAAAGGAGAAATCCAGCCAGGGTTACCAACCACTGAAAATGCCCCTCTGACTTGAGAAGTTCCTGGGCTGAAAATACTTGGAGAGTGGAGGAATTTAAGGGAGAAATATCATACATCTGTGAGCTTTGTCAGCTACTGAGGCCATTTTGGAGGCTGCTAATTTAGGGAGGTGCTCACTCTGGGCCAATGCAGCAAATGCTCTTTCTGTATAAAACTTCTATTAACATGATTTTCTCCTAGCCTTATATTCCAGTCCTAGTGAGTACTGAATTCTCAGATAATTTGGGTATGAATTATTTCCATCCAGAGCTGAGAGATGGAACACTTTGAAGCTGCAGACCACTGGGCACAGA